AGATGCAGCTGGGTGTTCAGAATTTGTCATGCTAATACTCTGAACATATTGCGCAATAAACCTGATTTCCTCCACCTGTTTCGTGGTCTTGAGTCCTGTCTCCGATATATGATTTGCTGCTACATTCTATGGCGACCACGGCAGGACTGAAGGGGCCCTGAGGCCCTCTGGAGGGGTCCATCCCGACTGCCAGAGTATCGGTGAGTTGTGGGGAACATCCCAGGCGCCATCGGACCTTTGAATCCGAGGGACTTCCTTAGACTTCTGTTCCCTGGCATCGGCGATCAGCACCTCCAAGAACCACTGCTGAAGGGTAAGAGGAACAGGACTGGGGGCTGGCCAGCTGTAAAGGAGGAAGACGCCTGCAGGCAAGTATTGGACTGGGAAAATAATCCCTCCCTATAAGCAGGGACGGAGGAGAGGACTGATCACCCTCTCTTAAAAGGTAAGGTGGGTGGAATTGTCAGGCCTGATTGTGAAGAAAGACTACTGCAGTTCCCTTTGGTGACTGTGAGTGTCCAGCACCATGGGTCAGTAGAAAGCGAGTGGCGCCTGCAGTTCCCATCGGAGACCGTGTGCATCCGGCTCCCTGGGTCGGGTGTGTGTGAATGTGACTCCTTGGTGTGTCCGGAGAAGGAGAGACCCCCTACTCTCCTCTTCAACCCTTTCCCTCAAACTGTCTTGTCTGGTTAAGTGGGTGGCTCATGGGTGGTAAGGAAAGCACTCCTGTCACTCCCTTGGAGGTTATGTTAAAACATTTCAAAGAGGCATACCAATCACAAGATTATGGTTATAAGTGGAGTAGACTAAAATTGCGAAAGTTTTGTGAGACAGAGTGGCCCACATTTGGGTTTGGGTGGCCCACTATAGGTACATTTGACATCCCCACTGCAGTACAGGTGCACCACTTGGTCTTCCACCCTACTCTAGGACATCCAGATCAGGCACCATACATTGACGTGTGGCTGGACCTATTGAATCACCCCCCACCTTGGTTACGAGTACTAAAAATGCGTCGGTGTAAGGCTCTATTGTCACGAAAGGTTACACTGAAAACCCTGCGCAAAACTGCGCAGGTGTTACCCAGTTGTCCTGAGGAAGCGCCACACCCCCCACCATATGTGCCACCAGGAGGGTTTGATGATGGAGGGGGAGATGAAGAATCATCAGGGGTCTCTAGGTTCATGGCCCAGCTGGACCAATGGTCCCCATATGTAAAGAAGACAGATCGATCAGCCCAGGCTGACCCTCCCCAGCAGGCATCCTCTACACCAGTGGAAAGATGGCCTGACCCTATTTCTACTGAGAGGCTCCGACAGTCTCTGAGTTTGGAATCAGGGGAGGGCACTTCATCTGGAACTGAGCTAGTTGCTGCCAGGACTCGAGCAAAAACAGAAAAAACCTCTCTAACAGCTCCTCTGAGGCAGGTAGATCAACTGGCCATTAACCCTAGGAACCCCTCTGAGTCAGTCACACTCTCATTATTCCAGCATGTACCTTTCACTTCCTCAGACCTGTTAAATTGGAAGTTACATTACGGCCCATTCAGTGAAAAACCCATGGAAGTGGCAGACTTAGTGAAGACAATAATGGATGCCCATAATCCCAATTGGCTAGATGTCCAACAACTCATGGGGACATTGTTCAGCCCCGAGGAAAGGGAGAAAATTAGGAATGCAATCAGTGAAATATTAAAACCTGATGTTACACTGAATCATTCTTTAATTGATCTCATGGATGAGAAATACCCATCTAGTAACCCAGACTGGGATCTTTACACTGATGAAGGGAAAACACGATTGAGGGATTACCAGTCCCTTGTAGTCCGAGCCATTCGCCTTGCAGGAAAGCCTGTGATTAATATGTCAAAGCCTGCTTTAATATTGCAGGAACCCACCGAGAGCCCAGAAGCATTTTACACCCGGCTGGTAGAGGCATACCGTATGTACACCCCTATAGACCCCTCAGCCCCTGAGAACGCGCGTATGATGACTATGGCATTCATTTCCCAGAGTGCCCTGGACATACGACGTAAATTGCAACGTCTTGAGGGTGCCCTGGGAAAGCCCATGAGCGAGCTGATGGAAGTGGCCCGCAAGGTATTTGCCAATAGGGACAAGGAGGAAGACAAAAAGAAAGACCAAAAATTGCAACGGAAGGCCGAGTTACTCGCTGCAGCCATTGCAGGCCCTACAAGAGGGAAGGCCTATGTCCCACGAGGTGCAGGACCAGGCCTACAGACTAGGGGCAACAGTCTGCAAAGGGGGGGAAGATGGGAAATAGGCCCTAATCAGTGTGCCTTCTGTAAAAGGCAAGGCCACTGGAAAGGGGAGTGCCCTGAAAAGAATAGGGACAGGCCTGGAGACAGAATGGGCCCCCCACAGAATCTCTCCTTTGTGGTGGAAGATGACCATAGGAGGCCAGTGGAGAGAGGCCGGGGAAGACAGGAGGGGAGAAGGGGTTTAGGAAGACTTCCACTTGTGGGCTTGGCTCAGGTTGAGGATTGGGAATGAAACCAACCGGGTTCAGAAAGCCTCCCAGAACCCATGGTCAGCCTGAAAGTGGGAGGCAAGCCTGTCACATTTTTGGTAGATACTGGAGCTACCCGATCCGTCCTAACTCAACCTTTGGCCCAAGCCTCTCGGCAGACTATTAATATCCAAGGGGCAACGGGGAGTACATCCCAACGCCCCTTCTTAGAACCCCTTGAGTGTACAGTAAAGGGCCAAGCTATTACTCATCAGTTTGTCTACATGCCCGATTGCCCTATCCCATTATTAGGAAGAGACTTACTTTGTAAATTACGAGCACAAATATCCTTCAAAGAAGACGGCTCCATGCACCTGGGTTATGGCAAGTTGAATTTGTCTGTACCCCTAGAGGAATCCTGGCGGCTTATGGTCGCTAGAGATCTCAGCAACAGGAAAGAGGAAACGTGGAGACAGTTCCAAGTTCCTCATTTGTGGGCAGAAGATAACCCCCCCCGGCTTTGCAGCTCATCATCCACCCATTCTGGTAGAGGAAGTGCCGATGAAAACCCCCGTGAGGATTCGCCAGGGGGCGTATCCACTCCACATTATGCAGGCTATTCAGGACATTATTGATATATACTTGGAACATAATATTCTAGTGCCAACTGAGTCTCCTTGGAATACCCCAATATTGCCCATCCCGAAGGGGGATGGCCGCTTTAGGCCAGTGCAGGATCTCAGGTCTGTTAATTTGGCCACGGTGACCATCCATCCGGTGGTGCCCAACCCATATGTGATACTAGGCCTAATTCCCCAGGCCGCTCAGTGGTTCTCGGTCATAGATTTGAAGGATGCCTTTTTCACCATACCCATCCATGAACATAGCCAACACTTGTTTGCTTTTGAATGGGAGAACCCTGTCACAGGACGGAAACAGCAGTACACTTGGACAAGGCTGCCTCAGGGGTTTAAAAATTCACCAACTCTCTTTGGGGCAGCTCTGGCAAAGGATCTAGGAGCGTTGCACACACCAGCCCCTGACGTGGTGTTGCAATATGTAGATGATCTCCTGGTGACAGGACTCAATGAGGAACTCTGCTGGGACAATACCAGAGACTTACTTTCCCTCTTGCAGAGTTTAGGATATAAAGCCTCTAGGAACAAAGCACAATTAGTTTTACAGAAGGTCAGGTATTTGGGTTATGATATTGAACAAGGGAAGAGAACACTAGGCCATGAGCGCAAGGAGGCTATTTGTCAACTTCCTAGGCCAACTAGCAGAAAAGACTTGAGGGGATTTCTGGGAGCGGCAGGGTTCTGTCGTATATGGATTCCCAACTTTAGCCTCATTGCACAACCTCTCTATGAGGCCACAAAAGGGGCCGATAAAGACCCACTTCAGTGGGCCGGTGAGGAGGAAGCCAGCTTCCTCTCACTCAAACAGGCCCTATTGCAAGCTCCTAGTTTAGGCCTCCCAGATTTAGAAAAGCCATTCCAGCTATTTGTGGACACTAAACGGAATGTTGCAGTAGGCGTCCTCACCCAGGTCATTGGCACTTGGCACCGCCCTGTGGCATACCTGTCTAAACAACTTGACAATGTTGCCAAAGGGTGGCCCACTTGTCTTAAGGCTGTGGCTGGGACAGCCCTCTTGACCCAAGAGGCCAGTAAATTGACCTTTGGTCAGCAATTGGATATTCGAACCCCCCATGCCCTTAGGTCGGTTTTGGAAATGAAGGGACACTTGTGGTTGACCAACCCCCGCATGCTCAAGTACCAAGCGATCCTCACTCACAACCCCATGATCACCATTACCCAATCCACCTCCTTGAACCCTGCCACACTTTTACCCGAGCCTGACACAGAATTAGTTCATGACTGCATCCACACAATTGAGGAAACCTATGCTAGTCGCCCTGACATGAAGGATGTGCCCCTCCCTGCTCCTGACTACACCTTATTCACAGATGGGACTAGTTACTTGCACGAGGGGATTAGAAAGGCAGGGTATGCTGTGGTCACTCTAGATGAGGTATGGGAAGCTGCACCACTGCCCCCGGGCACCAGTGCCCAACTAGCTGAGTTGCATGCGCTCACACGAGCCCTTGAACTGGCTGATGGTTTGACTGTTAACATATATACAGACTCAAAGTATGCCTTTCTTACAGTTCAGGTTCACGGAGCTCTGTATAAGGAAAGGGGACTTATTACGGCAGGGGGTAAAGATATTAAATATGGTCCGCAGATATTACGTCTCCTAGGTAGTGTGTGGGCCCCGAGCAAGGTGGCAGTCATGCATTGCCGTGGACACCAGAAGATAGTAACGGACATACACAGGGGCAATGAGCGTGCCGATAAATTCGCACGTGAAGCTGCCATGATCGTCTTCAACCCAGTAGAACGGAACTTTGCCGTATGGGTGCTGGATGACCACCTGCGACCCCATTATTCAGGAGATGACATGGCTAGGCTGGAAGCACTTGAGGCACGCCCGGAGGGCCCTTGGTGGGTCCTACCAGACAATAGGGTGTATATTCCAGCACACATGGCATGGGATATTGTACGCCAGGTGCATCAGCAACTGCACATGGGGAAAACTGCTTTAACGAAGGCGCTAAGGAGAGAATTATACATAGATAAAGTTAGTAGCATTGCAGCTAACGTGTGTGCCCGATGTGAAATATGTGCGGCTAACAATCCTAGGCAAGGCCCGCAACCACCCCCGGGCCACCAACCAAGAGGTTGTTACCCTTTTGATTCATTAATGATTGATTTTACTGATATGCCCCGTTGTGGTCCATATAGTGCGCTTCTTGTTATTGTGTGCACGTATACTGAGTGGCCGGAGTGTATACCTACACGCACGAAGAAGGCTACCGAGGTCGCGAGGGCATTACTCCATATTATAATCCCTCGATACGGGTTGCCCTCTCGAATTTCTTCGGACAATGGTCCGGAATTCATCCACAAAGCGACCCAACAGTTAGCCAGGGTTTTAGGTATTACCTGGAAACTGCACTGTAGCTTCCATGCTCCTTCGGGAGGCAGGGTGGAGAGAGTTAATCGAACAATCAAGGACAAACTCGCTAAAATATGTCAGGAAACCCATCTTAAGTGGACTGATGCTTTGAGTTTGGCCCTGGTGGCTGTTCGATGTGCCCCACGGAAAGATATCTCGGTCTCGCCTTTTGAATTGTTATATGGCCGGATCCCCAATCTGGTCAAGATTAATGCCAATGGCGACACCAAGATCTCGGATACTATTCGGTTACAGCAACTTAGAGCCCTCAATACCATTGTCCATGAATTACAACGTTATGTCCTCACGTGTAAGCCCCACATGCTGGTGACTTCCCCACATGATATACATCCGGGCCAGGAAGTCTGGGTTAAGGATTGGAAAAGGGAAACATTAGGTCCGAAATGGAGGGGGCCCTATACTGTGGTCATGTGTTCTCCCCTTGCTGTTAAGGTAGCTGAAATAAGGTCGTGGATCCATTGGTCCCGTGTTAAATTGGCTGCACCTACTCATTGGAAAGTGGAAACCTGCCCGGGTTCTCCACTTAAGGTTATCCTGAAAAGGGCGAAGAAGGATATCTCCCCTAGTGGTGACACACCGGAAGCTGTCCCTTTACCTACGGGAGACGAAGAGGATTTGCTCTCCCCTAGTGGTGACACACCGGAAGCTGTCCCTCTACCTACGGGAGGCGAAGACCGTCGCACCCCTGCTGGCGTTACTCCGGAAGCTGACGCCCACCGCACGGCTCTCCCTTGGCGCCTGAGGTCTAGAGTTTCCCGTACCTAGTTCTAGGCTGTGGAAAAAGGGGGGAATAAAGGGAAATGGAAGCTAGTCAGAGGTTAAGGGAAACCACGTGCATCCGCAGAGGGCTCATGCCGTCTGTCTGGATTGTGACCATTCTGCTAGTGCTAAGTGTTGCAATCAATTCACTATACCTATATTCAACACTGAAGCAGAAAAAGGTGGTGTCAGAGGAGCCGCTGCTCCTAGACGATGACATAATGGAGGAGTGGTACTCACCAGATCCTTTCGGGGATGAACCCCCACCAATGGTTAATGCTAGGAAAATTGAAACATGTCTGGATTGCTATTTGGTAAGACCTACAGGTAAACATTTCACTTATATTGAATATAGACCCCCTAACTGTCGTATTACAGATCTTCCCCAGTGCGAATATCAAGGGATTAAGTATTGGCAATGTATGAAAAATAACACGATACGGTGCTACTATC